TCATACCCCCATTTTCCCGCTTTTCTTAATTGAGAGGGATGTGACAGAAAAACGCTCGATGAAAGACCGGAAAAGACAGTCCGCTGCATTTACCTCCTTCTCGCTGTAAGAGATGTTGCGGATGCCGCTCCAGGGGAAGGATTTGTTGGGGTTGAGTTTGCTGTTGGGGCTGTAGATGTGGAGACCCTGAGCATCCACTCCGAGTAGCAGGTCTGTGTCCCTCTTATTTTGCTGTGAATTGAAACAACAGTAACAGTAAAGTTGATGTATATATCTTTTTTGTAAATACCATAAAAGGCACCATAATAACACTCACAGTGATGGCGAAGTAGCTGACACCGTACATCTCAAGGTCCTGAGCGATTTTAAGGTATTCCATCTCAGCCTCATCCCTGTATGGACGATGTAAAAATAAAGAAGGGAATTTATCTCATTTTAACTACTGTATTCAGGAAGACTGTCTCTGTGCAGGGGCTCATTTCTCTCTACATGCTGAATTTCAGAAAACCCCCCCGGGTGGGTCCTACCTGGCGATGCCTCTGTGCTCGGCGTACCAAGCCGTGATCTTCTCCTCCCACATGTCCGCCGTCATTTGGTATTGCATCAAAACCTACAGGATCAGACGAATACACATTATGTACTGCATACACACAAACAAACAATGTGTCATTGATCTACCAATTAGGTATATTAAGCAGATAATAACAACAAATAACAACAATTTGAAATGTGCACTTACTCTTTTGGGCAAAAGTTCATCTTGTGCGAGGAAGCCCGGCTTATGGAAACTTGGGTCATAGTCCCCATACTGTCATTGAGAATAAAGGGGTGGAAACGAGAACAATTAAAAAAGATGTGGACGTTACTTTTGCATATTAGCAAACTATATGTAAGTCTAACTGTAAATAAAATATTAATTGTTTGCAAAAACACATTGATCTGATCTCCTGCCGTTTTCTTATGAAGACAAAAGACGGTACCCAGAAGGGAGAAAATGATTTGAATACTTTTTAAGTCTTATTAAAGTGCGCCGTATATTCTGTGCGGTCCATACACAGAGAGATACTTTGTATAAAGCTGGTCAAAACATGACATTTAATTTTCAGGCCAAAAGCATACCTGAAGGTAGGAACATGAAGCTTTCTTACCTTGGCCTGGACGGCATAGGACGCCAACAGGACGGACGCTTCAGGGGAACAGAATATCTCTTCATCTAATATCTGCTTTTTGACCTATAAAAGAATTTGAAGACACGTAGGAACATGTATTCATTTTAAAAATGGTTTTCTTTCTTAAATTGGCTCATGATAGGCGCTTGATCTCCGTAGGTGGAACATGTATTAATTAAACCAAGGACACATCTTCATTCGGCAACAAACATGTTCTCAAAATCTTTGTAAATATTACAACAGCCTGAGGGGAGCGCGCGCGCACACACACACACACACACACACACACACACACACACACACACACTCGTCGTCGTCGTCGCGCGCGCGCGCGCACACACACACACACACACACACACACACACACACACACACACACACACACACACACACACACACACACACACACACACACACACACACACACACACACACACACACACACACACACACACAAAAAGGATCACTTCAAGGCTTACCTGTAAGAAGAAGAGGTGCTGAGTTATCTCCTGGACGAGCTCTTCTTCTACTTTCTCTGGGAAGAATTTAGCCAGGAAATGAAATGTTATGGGCGAGTCCTTGGGAACCTCCTGGTCCAAGACCTTAGAGAACAAATAAGCACCATCATTTCAGACCAAACTCACTAAAGCCAGAAGTAGGGCTGCTCAATTAATCCTATTTTAAATCGCAATTACGATTTTGAAAACAACATCATCGAAATAAAACGATCGGTTTTTCAGTTGAGTTATACTTAACGTTCAGGGTAATCAACTGTTAAAAACATACTGTTCAAATTGGTTTTTTTCAATAAATGGATGTTTTCAAAGTAAATGGATATTCGTTTTCAATAATCGTGATATCAATTATTGACCCAAATAATCAAGATTATGATTTTTGCCATAATCGAGCAGTCCTAGCCAGAAGTGCATGATTAGTATTTATGTAATAACTTGATAGCAATACGGTAATTCATCAATCATTAGAATAATCAATGAACGAGAGAAAGGAGAATTGACCAACATTAACTCCTTCTTATGCAAAGTTTGTTGTTTTATATAATTACAAACTGAACACTTTCTTTGATTGTTTTTCAGATAAGACAAACAATTTGAAGAGGCACCTTTGGATTGTGTGTTTGGATGGATATTGTTTACATTATAGAAACAAAATACGAAATGTCTGTAAATGGATAATTGTGTTTGTTACAGCCTTCATTTAGTTAGCCTCATCTTTCTAATCTGACTATGCATTGTTGATACTATTTGAACCCCATGACGTCTGGTATCTTGTTTTGTTCTATAATCCTCATTGCTCCATTTGACCTTCACTCCTTCACTCACCCGTTTCTCTGGTTTCAGCCAGGCGTAGGTGTCCTTCACCGTGTACCTGAGTCCAAAGAACCAGGTCTCTCTCAGACCAACGGTGCGACACACCAGGTCAAACAGGTCTTTGCCTTGCCACTTGACCTGAGAACAACAGAGTGTTGTTAATGTGTTGCTGCTGCTCTGTATTCCCAACTGTTTAAATCAACCAAAAAAGTGATTTCTTTTTTCTAAAACAGAATATCCCTTTAGTCTTCATGGTCAGATATTGATGTGACTGATTTGTGAGGGTTTTTCAGTATTGTATAGGTGAGTTGGGCCTGAAAAGTAAAGGATGCCTTCAATAACAATAAAAACGAATCAATATTATCGAGTAAAAAGCAGGGAGATTATTTCCCTTAGCAAATGTTTACAACGTTTCAATGGGTCAATCATGTTCTAGCTAAGTTGATCACAAGACAAGACGTGGCAGGCATATACATAAATGAGGAAACAAGCTGAACTCTAATTTTTATGTTAGTGTACATTAAAATGTGTTAGAACATCATGATGTAATTCAAAACAGTTGTATTCTAATATGCAAGAATGTTTTGGGCTATTCTTCAATAAGCTTGTCCATAAATCTAAGATGTCTAATGTATTGTGTATCAGCTAATAAATGGTTACAAATACAGATTCACAAAGTCAATGGTTAAACAGTGACCTGGACATGAAACAAAACATAGCCCATCCAGATACAGAGATGAATAAAGCAACCCTTTCGGTATAAAGACTGCACGAAAAAATCCTGACCTCACAGCTGAACTCCATCTCAGCATCCATGGTGATAACTTTGACTTTAAAAGTCTTCGGCTGTTTCTTCTTTAACCCGAGGATAGACATCTTGAGGGTGTTGCTGTCAAAAGAACCTGTGGAAAAGAACAAAAGTACAAGTATTTCAACATTTAACTGCCTTCAGGACAAAATGTGATAAGACGTGGTACGAATGATGTATTTTAGAGTGGTTTAATGTAGTAAAGTACAAGTACTGTACTTTAGGGTAGTTGTACTTTACTTGAGTGTCTTTATTTCATGCTATTTTATACCTCTACTCCAGTACAATTTGGAAGCCAATATTCTTAGCATTTAGTCCACTACATTTATTTGGCAGTAGTATATACAGATTAGGAGCTCAAACCAAATATGAATAAACTAATGAATTAACTATAATATATATGTATAGGGGAACATCCTGCAACAGTATATACAGTTATTCAAATCAGCGCTACCTTAAACAGCTGTGAAGAACAATTTAATGTATTTATAAACATAATCCAGTAATTTAATATACATCCATCTAGATGCAAATACTACTATCAAGTCTATTTTGATGACAATACTTTTGTACTTGTACTTAAGTAGGATTTAAAATGCAGGATTTGTACGCCTTACAGAGTATTTTTATACAGTAGTGTTTATACTTTTACTTAAGTATAACATCCGAGTACTTTTTCCAATACTGTCAATCACACGTACTGACTGGTAACTCAATGTTTTTAGAGTTTGTGCTGCAGGTCAACTAGCTCTCAGGCGATAGAAATGTGTTGTTTTAAGCGGTTTTACAGGACACACAAAAACAGCTACTTCTTTGTTAAACACAACATGCAGCTGAAATGTAAAAGAGGCCTATTACCAGTGAGTAAAATAACAAACTCCTGCCGTCCAACAGGGCCCAGAAGAGGCTGGGGGCTTTATGTGTTGTTGGTGAGTCCAATGCTAAGCTAACTGATATTTCTACACAGCGTTAGCATTCCAGCTATTCCATAAAAACCGACCAAAACAAGTTGTAGAAAAAACGGAACTTTTGAACGGTCTCCATAGTGAATCGTGGCGACTAAATTTACTTTACGACCATTAAAGTTATGTTTAATATCACTTTAATTAACTTTGCTAACGTTATCGGTAGCTACGTGCTGGGTTAGCCTGCTTTTTAATATCAGGAGGACTCCGACTTTCCAGAAGATTTTTGTTTTGACTAGTCGCTCTACAGGTGGGAACAAGAACAACAGTTTGGGATACTAGCTACTGCGCATGTGCAATAATTTGGAAGCATTTATGCCGCTTTCAATGGTTGTCGGGAAAATGGGTTTTAAAAGCTTTAAACAAAAAAAATAACGCTTCATTTTGTAAATAAAAATCCAGGGCTTTTAAAAGAAAATGTAATGTTAGATTGTTTTGGATCTGGAGGTGCCATCTATGGTCTGACAGAAAGGAGTTGAAAAAGACAGCCACCTTTGTGTGGTCTGTAACAGTTTTCTACTGATTTATAATCTCCATGACCAAGTAGTAGACGGTATTTGTGTGTGTGTCTCTTTGTGTGTGCTTTTAGTTTTGCACATTCTCTTCAGAGTGTATACTAGCAGGGGTTTTGTTTATGTCAAGTTGTCAAGGTTTTTCTTTTGTATTTCTTTTTTAAAGGTTATATTTTTAAATGAAAACATGTGTGTCAGATATTACGGTGGCCGTAAACGCAACAACACGGAAACCACGAACCCCACACAGCAATAAATACTGCACTCATAATAATACAAATACAGTGTGTAATTATAAACATCCGAGGGATCCAACTTGATAAACTAATGAAGAAGAAACAAACATCGAAGCTACTGTAGGTAACTCTGTCGCTAACATGCATTTTTATTTATTTTAAAGGCTGGTTGAAGTAGCAGCAGGCTGTGTTTTTAACCATAGTTGAGGTCGGACATGAACAGTGCAGTTCAATCTTTAAAATAGGTTATAGTTATTTACTAATGCAACAATAAGCAATTGAAATCAACATAGGCTTCTGATATATTAGTTGCACTAGTTTCAAACATTCCCACATTTTCCTCATTTTACACTATTATCAGAATTGATTTGGACATATTTTTAGATTGTTTTGGCTACATATGACATCACAAAATAAATCAAATGAAAACCAAAAAGTAGGGTTGATCAGCTTTTTAGAAAATTAATGATTTGTTAGAATCACCATGCCTACTGAGCTCACAGTAAAATAAATCTTATGACAAATGTTGTTTTTATCATTTTACATTTACTTTTTTGTCATTGCTTTCACCAGGTTTGTATAATGGCATCCACCACTAACACTTTGGAAAATGTGAAAGCAAATATCTTATCAGCTCATAAAAGCACCACGTTGGCAGAAAAGGTGGACTTCTACAATTCATGGGCAGAGAACTATGATCAGGTGAGGTAACTGATGTACAATAAAAGGGCATCAGTGAACTATTGGCAGTATTTTTTTCTGGTTACATCTATGGGAAAGTAACTCACTTATTTAGTATATTTCTTTGCAGAAATTAAGGGAAACAACAAGTGAAAATAAATACTAAGTAAAATTGTTCAGTCCAAAAAAACCACAATAATGAAACCTTTTCCCCCCCTATATCTTAACAGATTTGGTTTTGCAGTGCTCTTGTTTACTTTCTTTGTCTGTGCTAAAAGCCACTGTTCCTTGTAAACGTTGGTTTGAGTAGGACGTGGCAGTTCTGGAGTACCGGGCACCGAGCCTGGCATCAAACTGCGTCTCCTCCCATTTCAGCGGTGATCGTGGAGCAGCTGTCGTGTTAGATGTGGCCTGTGGTACTGGACTGGTGGCCAAACAGGTACATTCCCAAGATAGATATGGCTAGTCAGAATCAAAACTGCATACTTAAGGTCTGAATACAGTAATATTTAGTTTAATATTTCCAAAATATAAAACTAGAAAATATTCTATTATTTTAGATTGATGTTTAGTTTGTTTCACTTTAGAAGATTTCCACTGAATCTCCTCTCTTCTTGAACATGTTCCTGTAGGTTTGTGAATATTTATTATCACAATTGAATTCAAAAGTGGTTCTCTTGTTTACATCAAAAACCTTTATTTAAAACATTTTCTCTTTTTTGTCTTGTGTCTTGAACAGCACATTACCTATCCTTAAATGTTTTCCATGTTATACTGAGTTGACGAGTATGACCGATAAACAACCATAACTGTCTCTGTTGTACAGATGAAGAAACTTGGATTTGGACACTTTGTGGGTATTGATGGAAGTGAGGCTATGTTGGAGTTGACCAGAGAGAGCGGGTTGTACCAGGACCTGAAGCAGTGCATGCTGGGAGAGGGGCCACTACCTGTCGAGTGCGGTAATACAATGATTTAAATGATTTAAGATGTAATTTATCGCTGAGGTTATTCTCAAGTGGGTTGGGTGAGCTCTACTTTAGAAACACATTTTGGGCAAGACTCTATCTGACATGATTTTATGGCTATTAATATGGCTACTTCTTTACTCTGCACCTATTCCCTTTCTTTTTTTGACCTGCAGGTTCGTTTGATGTGGTTGTGATTGTTGGAGCTCTGAGTGATGGTCAGGTCCCGGTTGGTGTCGTCAGAGAGTTGTGCAAGTGCACCAAACTAGGTAAGAGTCTTTTTTGTATTTTGCATCAAACGCAGCTCAGATCATCGGTTGTGTATCATTATGTCTTCACTTTTGGTAAGTTTCGATCCTTCAAAAACACCACTGCACTCTTAACTGTTTCCACCAGGTGGCTACGTTTGCATGACTACCAGAAGAAACCAGGACAATTTAGAATACAAAGAGGCCCTGGAGCGAGAGCTGAAGCAGATGGAGGCCGATGGTCTGTGGACATGTGTGGAGGTCTCTGAGGTGGAAGACTGGGAGCGAGCAGTGTCAGAGCATGAGGACGGATACATACCTGGTGTTGTGTACCTCTATAAGAGACTACAACTATAGTAGTAAAGGTAGATGTACAAAACATTTTTGACATTGTCCGTCCCTGACAATCCTGAAATTAAAGATGGGAAGCTTTATTCACAGGAATACATTTAAGATATGAAATGTTTATGACTAAATATCCACATATTGCAGTAAAATTGGTTTCTGAAAAGACTCAAACTTCAAACTTTTACAGATGTATTTATTATGCGTTGTGTCGTTAATGTTATTTTGTACCATTAGTATCAACATTTAAATTGTGGAAGATAATTTTGATGATTTCAAAACTTAGGTGATTTGATGCCAAATAAACCCACAGCCACAAGGATTTCTAGTGGTCTCAAAAAAAGGTACTGTTGTTTATATTTTGTATTGTCTTGATCTCAAGGTATATCATTTATGTGAATCTAAGGTAGGCTTACGTGACGAAAGAAATGTTACTCAAATGCTCGAGGAGTTTTCTACCTTATATCCATTGTGAGGGAATCTATGATTCTCTGAAACCTGACCATATTTAATCTGAAGCATCTTTGCTGTCCAAACTGAGTATTTGTGTTAACACCAGAGCACTTAAGAGAACAGATATTAACCGTATATGGGTGTTATGTGATTTAACAAATTATATATATGAAAGAAATCATGATAAAATACTGCAACTATCACAGAACGGTATTTTATAAATGTAGGCTATTGAGAGAACAAGAAAAAAGTTTGACTCCCTTCTCTGTTGATCCTCAGCCAATCTAAAAGGTCTGATGAAACGGTTGTTTGATTGTGTGTGTTTGTCTGTGTGTGTATTAATAAACAGAGTGTATGCACAGCTGTGACTGAAAAAGCGCTTATCACGGTAAAAGTGTTCCACCAGCCTGAAGCAGCTTGAATTTCTCACCTTGAATGAGACTATCAAACAGAAACACTTGTTGTTTTTCCCATTCGCTCAGCCAGCTGAAGTTTGGAGACTATATAAGATCTCCACCCCTGTGCCTGTGCAGACCTATAACTCGAGAATGAGGGTTGCTTTTGGTTTGCTGGTGTTGCTGCTTGGCCTGTGTGGGTCCAGGGCTCAGGGGGAGAGTGGAGGCCTCGGTGAGGAGGGTGAGAGCAGCGAGCTTCAGGAGGAATGGACCCAGCAGACCACAAACACAACCTCGCCTGACATCTTGTTGGAAATGAAGGAACTGAGACGCATGGTGCAGATGCTGCAAAAACATGACTCAGGTACTGAGTTTTCACTTTTCCCGTTCAGTGTTGATTTTTTTTTTTAGTTTGATTGACGTGTGTGAACTCATCATTTGAGTGCTGGCTCAACAGATAAGATGAGTATCAACATACTGTATATCATTTGTTTTGCATGTTAGCAGTTTGCAACTCTGTTATTCACTTTGTTGCATTCATTTCAGAGATGGAGAGAAGACTGAACAGCAGTGAGAGGGAACTTCTTGATAGCAAGAAAAGGATTGACAAGCTGGAGAATTTAAATAAAGGTGAAGATTGTAATCTCCGTATACACACACACACACACACACACACACACACACACACACACACACACACACACACACACACACACACACACACACACACACACACACACACAAACCTTTTTAGTCCTGGTCAAGTTAACAATATCATGCATTGACTATTTTTGTTAATAGCGAACACAAAGGTGGCCTTTTACACAGCTCTGACTGATGCAGGATATGTCGGCCCATTCACCACGGACACCACACTGAACTTCAGCAAGGTCTTCACCAACATTGGCAATGCTTACAATGCAGGTACAGGTAATGTTCTGTGGGTGGCATGACAATATGTGGTAATTTAACCCTACCTAAATCAAGTGTTACATTTTCCTTTTTCTACTCTTTAGGTTTCTTCAAAGCACCAGTCAAAGGAGTCTACTACTTCCAGTTCACTGTGTGTGGTCACCACACAGGTCTTATGGGTGTATATGTGTACAAGAACAACAAGAACATTATGTTCAATGTGGAGTGGAAGGAAGATCAACTTTATAAGTATTTCACTAACTCTGTTATCTTGGAGTTGATGGCAGGAGATGAAATTCACCTTGCTCTCCCGGCTACCCACGTTCTGTATGACGACGGCAGTAACCAAAGCACCTTCAGCGGAGCTCTTCTCTTCCCACTGTGAGGATGTTGTTATTTAGGCTGCTGAGTGTTTGATTTGTCACCAACTCTGATTTTATTGATACACTTTGATTCTTAAGATGCTACTCTTAAAATTCTGATGTAGTTCTACAATTGTTTGCACACGTATCAAATATGTTATTCTGAATCTGATGTTCCTCTTGTTTCATCTCACAACAGCAATATTCAAATAAATAAAAGAGTAATTTAAGTGTAGCTTGTTATCATTACCGGTAAGTGTTTGTATCCAAACTTTACCTGCAGGGCAGTGATGTTCACTTACTGTAAATGATGTGAATCTGGATCAAACTTATAAAGGTCATTAACTGTCATGTCATGTCTGTAATGTATCATAGACAATAGAAAATGGGGCAACTTGTCTTGTATCAAACAACACTACTTTAGTGTTAGTAATTGATTTAGTGGTATGTAGGGTGACGATGGTGATGCAAATTGAATTTACAGACTTACAGACTTACAAGAAACATGCTCATGTGTACTATAAGTCCTGCAGCAAAGTACAAAAGCAACACAAGTTTTATTTGTACACATATTACTGTGTGATAATACACACTAACAACAGAAAGTTGTTTCTTTTTTTTTGGCAAGTTCAAAGCATTAGATTTGGAATCTTCCTAATTGGGCTGTAATACGTCTGCCGGTAGATTGGGGATAGATCTATTGTTGGGCAATTTGATCTTGCTGAGTCTGATGTGTGTACACTAATCACTAGATGGCAGGGTTTCATTAAACTATGAGACAACCTGCATATATCAATCCTATGGTTGAGTTGCCAAACAGGTGGTCATGGATTACAGCCAAATATTACTTTTTTTTTTATATTGACTTGTTTAGTGCAGTTTTATGTTTGCATTAGCCTACCTTACAACATGTATTTATTTCTTATCTATGTAGTTCAAATTGTACAGGTGTATGTCATGTATTAATCTAACACATATTATTCCTGAAGTAAAACTTAGCAGCTTTATAATATGACTAGATACTGCACATTTGAATAAGCAAAACCCACTGAAACTAAGTTTGAATGCTCTACAAACATACTGTGCATCTCACCCTGCTCACCTGTTGTAAACACACTCTCTGTCAAACCAGTTTGTCCTGTAGATTTAAATGAAGAGGAATGAAAGGCCGGGGGATGCTGTGTACTCGAAAGGAAAGGCTCTTTTCAGGTCATTTGTGACATTTAGATCAGGGAAAAAATACTTTCTCAATCAAATTATATACATTTAAGTCATTTATTGAGAAGTTAACATACAATTGTATAGTCACATGTGTACAAATAAAATACAAAACTTTTCACAGTTGTAACAAAAAGCAGAAGCTAAATCCAAAAAGTGTAACCTTTACATTTCAATAAGTTAAGTTTTTCATTGTCGTATAGCTCATCAAATGATCGCTCACATGAATAATAAAAATACAATCTAATCAATATAAATGAATGATAGAAAAAGAGCAAAAATATCTTGTTTCTTCATTTCTTATGTTGCATTCAGGTTACTGTGCATCAAGCAGAAACCAGCAAACTAAAAAGTCTGAAGTAAAATTCATAACACAGACAGATTCATTATCATTTTAGTGCATTGAAACAGTCAGAGCAAAAACTGGTACAGGTGTAATGATATACATCTTAAATTGAACTTCTTAAAATAAGGCCAACGATCAATTCCATAAAGCAAATGCATACTTACTTTCACCTACTTTTATTTGACACTGCACTTTGTTTTAGGTTCAGTTTAAGTGCACATAACAAGCTGCTATTCTCCTTCATATGGATGAATAGTTAAACTATACTTTTCCCGTTTGTCCTCTAAAAAAAGCAACACGGTGGAGTATAAAAAAACGGTATGTAAATCCAATCAACTATTCTTCACCAGTAAACAGTCACACAAAAAGTAAACTACCTCTTCTAAATCACCCTTAAAATAAAAAAGTTTGTAATTTGTGGTAAACTTAAGTACGCATGTGTGATTTTATTTCATAGGTATGTCCTCGTTGGATTTGAGGATGCATCCTCATTGCCACTCTCAACTGAAACATTCTCTTCTTCTGCTCGTTTTAGCTGAGACTTCGTAGACGGCGTATCACTGTGTTCAGACTTTGCAGAGTCCAGTCTTTTCATCTGAGACTTTGTCGATGGTGCCCATGATTTTTCGGACTCCAGCCTCGAGCCCTGGTCCGGCTGGTCCTCCCAGGGCGGCCTTGTGTACAGAGGAGGTTTTGTTGATGAGCCTTGAGACCTTGGAAGACCTCCGACAGGCTGAGATGTTGCTGCTGGTACTCTGTTGCCTTGGGAACCTGGCTTGGTGGACCCGTTGGAGGAGCGGACCACCAAATAGCGGACAGAAGGGCTCTTGTCTGCTTCGTTTGCTTTGAGGGGGCATGCTGAGCTGATGAACAACCCCCCTCCCAGCATAAGCAGGATGGACGCTCCCCAGCCGATGTAGATGGAGGCTCCGATCTCCCTACGTTGAGCATCTATGGCGGCGCTGTAGAATTTCTTCACCACAGACCCTGCCGCCCACGAGGTTGGGATCAAACACAGCAGCCCTGTTACAATCAAAACGACCCCTGCTGCTACAGCCACCTTGCCCTTAACCCCGCCTCGTTCCTCGTCCAAAAAACGTGTGCACTTCCCTCCGACGAAGGCCAGAATGAGGCCTGCGGCGCCCGTGGCGATGGCGAGGACGATGAGAGCCCTGGCCGCCTGTAGGTCTGCGCTGAGAGCAAGGAGAGAATCGTAAGGTTTACACTGGATCTGCCCCGTGCTCTGCACCACACAGGTCATCCAGATGCCCTCCCAGATGGTCTGCGAGGTGACGATGGTTGTTCCCACGAAGGCCGTGACCCGCCATGTTGGCATTATGCAGCTGATGATGACCCCTGCCCAGCCCATGAGGCACAAGGCGCTGGCCAGCATCTGCATCCCTGTGGAGGCCATGACGTCGAGGTGGAGGGAGGAATCCTCACAGACCCTTGAAATTGCTCTAAAGTTGTTATTCTTCTCTGTGGAGCTTCTTTTGCTCTAGCTCCTTGTGACTCTCCTCTTGTTTCTTTCTGTGTCAGTCTTTCTCAATGTGAAATGTTGCGTTTTTCACAGCCTCCATTTCGTTCTTGCCTGAGTTGTAATGTTGTATCAGTCCCAGGAATGCGACTATTTCTGCTGTGCGTCCAGCCTCCAGCAGCTTTAAGGCGACTCCGGGTGTGTCTGTGTTCAGCCTCAGTGTATTTGTTTACAGCCAGCTTGTCTTCTGTCTCTGTCCCTCCTACCTCATATCCATAAGTGCTGTCCCCTCCTCCCTCTCTCTTCTTAGTTCTCTACCTGAGAGTGCTCTTTCTCGTCTGTCATCTGAGAGGCTGCCTGTGTGCTACTGGTTGCTCAGGTGTGGATGCACCACACCTACTCTACAGGGAAACAAAAGGGGGAGGAGGATGAGAGGAAAACAGAGAGGGAGAGAGAGAGAGGCAGCTGTGAAATTGTGACATCATCTATTCCCTCCCTCATTATCTTGGTCTGACGAGATTATTTTGGAAACTAAAAGCTCTGGATGAAGCAGAAAGAATGATAGGCTTCTGGGCAATCATCATATTTATGAGATGCACATCTTATACTGTTCACACAACATCTCCCTGCATACTCACTGAAAATGGATTGCAAATCTGATTCTATTCAGAAATGTAACACTTGTTGGGGCTCAGTGTGTGTGATTATACACATCCTGCGTGCACGCATTCATGTAACAAAAGGAGAAAGATGTGAAACACAATCTCCTGGGAGACAAAACCAGTTTCATTCTAGCTGTGGCCAGTCTGTAGATAAACCTGTTTGAAACATACAGAACCACTCCCCACTCACACACACAAACACACACACACACACACACACACACACACACACACACACACACACACACACACACACACACACAAACACACACACACACACAAACACACACAAACACACACACACACGGAATCTGATCAAATCAATAGAAAAATGTTGAGTGAGACATCACCTTTTTGACTACTAACTGTGCATTCAGTGTTCTTGTCTCTATGTGATGGAAAATCTTCTAATGAGGCTTAAAATAAAGTTATGGGATATCTTTTTTGTGTCAATTAATATGTCCACAAACAAAGTAATTACAAACTAAATATACCTTTATTTGTAATATTATATCCTCTCCATCATGCAAATGTTTACAAAGAGGATCACACCAACAAGATAATACAAATAAATAATACTACAAACAGACACACACACACAGTTATGGCTCATTCTTTTTATTTAGCAACATTTCTTTGGCTCGTAGCACACATTTTCACACAACCTGTTTACAAGGATTCTGTCATGAACACTTCAAAAAAAAGATCCACTGCTCAGCAAGGTATTTGTCATAACTGAAAAAACAATACATTATAAATTACTTGCATTTTAACGTTATACATTAATACAGAGATAAAATCTGAAGACAATTATAACTTAAACAGATATTGTGAATCAGTCACATAATCATCAATCGTCTAGTTTGATAAAACATCAGTCTTAGACAGAAAATATGTAATACACAGGCAGCTTTAATATATCGCAGCCATATTTTAAATCTCACACATCATGGAGCACGTGAAAGTATTTTAAAAATGAATAGTACAATTGTGTCAATACTGGTGTGTATTCACATATAGAGAAATACAAAAATGAAAATATTATAAACTTTCTAAAGACAACAACTTGCATCCAAAAGACAAAAACCCATGCTAAAGCCACACACTCATCATATTTACTTGAACACATTATGAGCATTGTCATTCTAGATGGCTGACTTAACTTCATGGGTCAAACAGAAAGGGAAACGTATATAAACTCTTATTTCTTTAAAACAGATTGTCCCAATTCTGCTTCCTGCTGTAGATCTAAACGTAGGCCTTGCTGCTGTGCTCAGACCGAGTCTTGGCGTACTTCACATCGTAGTCCTTCTCAACTCTGGGGGGACAGGAGCTGCAGAGGAGCCCCCCGCCCAGGATCAGCAGCCCTGCGGAGGCCCAACCGAGGTACAGCGAGGCCCCCAGTTCCCTCCTCTGAGCGTTGGACATGACGGGGTTGTAGAAATCACGAATGACGGTGTTGGCAGTCCAGCAGATGGGGATCAGCACCATGACGCCTGCGATGATAAAGATGATTCCTGAAGCGATGGCCACTTTGCTCTTTACCGTTTCGTCTTCTATAAGGTTGGTGCACTTGCCCCCTGCCAAGCCGAGAATGAGCCCAAAGAAGCCTGCGATGATAGCGATGATGACGAGTGCCCTGGAAGCCTGGAGGTCTTGAGGCAAAGCCAGCATGGAGTCGTAGATCTTGCACTGCATCTGGCCCGTGCTCTGGGTCACACAGTTCATCCACAAACCCTCCCAGATCACCTGAGCAGTGATGATGTTGGCACCGATGAAGGCTGTGACTTTCCAGGTGGGAAGAGCGCAGATGACGATGCTCCCCAAAAAGCCGATGATAGCCAGGATAAATCCGAAAATCTGTCTTCCACTGGACACCATGATGAAGCTCTGTCTGAAGACTGTGTTGCAGAGTGAGCTAATATAGCTTACGTTTGTCTTGTTATAGTTACTACAAATACTTCGCTGGCCCCCCTGGCTCCTCTTATAGCTTTTGCTGTTGCACGGACTTGTGTCCTCCTTTTAACAAGTCCGCCGTCGAAGTCCGATAACAGATCTCTACCCTCACTTATCTTTCTCAGGTGGGTCACTGACCACAACGGGTGGCAGTCCACGGACCATGCATTCAGGCTGCCCAGGTTGGATGGCCTAAGTACACACCTGATGTTCCGTCCCACTTGGCTCCACAGTTTAAACTAGAATAGGTAGGTTAACGGAGGACCCAGCTGCTCTCGATGGACCTTATGCCGGAGCCCGTTGAGGGTCCGAGCGAAAATGTGTGTTGGCGACACCTAATATGTGTTTGATGTAAGACCTACCATCCGTATGGAGAGGGAAACATATAGTAAGTCATTCAGAATTGCTCCTCGTTTTCTGTTCGGCAGGTTAAATGTGAGTGTGTGTGTGTGTGCTGTATAAGAGTGTGTGGCTTTATCGAACAAAACAAAAAGTCACTAGAAATGTGGTTTTCCCCTTAACGTAGTGGTGGTAGCGCCTGTGTGTGTGTACACGGGTAAGCCAGTCACTCAAGCCCACTCTAGAAGAAGTCGGTTTTGATCAAACCCCGACTCTCCTCTCTCGCTCGCGCACCATTGTCTGTGTGAGTAATTTGGTCCATGCCT